TTTTTTTTCATAGGATTGTTGATAGCTTACCTTTCTTCTCTTGAGAACTATCTATTCATGTTCCATTGGAGGAATGGCTCTTGCTCTATATTTGTATAAATCACCTATATATTTTGGATATAAGACCTTTATTGGAGAAATTTCCTACAGTGATTTTTCCCCCATTAGCTGTTAACTATTTCTCTTCTAATTCTAACAGCACTGATTTTATTTATACAGAAACATTTCAACTTTATCACCTGAGATCTTCTCTATCACTTGAGAACTTTTCCCCCATTCACATTTGTGAAATTAGTCTCTGTCCATGCTCTTCTAATTTGTTTATGATATAAAATTTTATATATAGATGTATTCATTTGATGTTTGTTGAGGTATATGGTGTGAGATATTGTTCTAATCCTAATTTCTTCAAGATTGTTTTCCAGCTTTCATGGCACATTTTGTTGAATAAAGATTCCTTACCCCAGGATAACTGGAGTCCTCGGGCTTATAGAAAAATATGCTGCTATCTTTAATAACTTCTGGGTCTTGTGTACCTTATTTATCCCACTGATCAACTTTTCTAGGTGTTTTTGGGGGGTAAGGGGTTAGGATAAAGATAGGGACAAGATCTTTATGAGGCCTAGTTTTATAGAAAACTCCTAGATGAGGAAGCTCCCTCTACCAGTATAGATTGGCATCTTCTCTGCAATTTAAAATTTTAGAGAGTTGCTTACAGAGCAAGCATTGAGAGGTTGAATGATTTGCCCAGGGTGACATAGCCAGTATGTTCCAGAGGTAGGAATTGAAACCAGGTTTTACTGGCTCCTAGGCTAGCTCTCTATTCATTAAATCAGCATATACTATCTCATCAATTTTTTTTTTTAAGTAGTACAATGGTTTTGATGATTACTGCTTTGAAGTATAGTTAGAGGGCAGGTGCTGCTAGGACCATTTCCTTTCCACTTTTTATGATTATTTCCCTTGAGACTTTGAATTAAATGTTCCTTCAAATGAAGGTTGCTATTTTTTTAGTTTGATAAAGCAACCATACCTGGCACTTAATAAATATTTGTTCATTTGATTTGATAGTTTAATTGTTATGGCACCAAATCTGTAAATTAATTTAGATAGTATTATAATATGTATTTTATTGGCATGATTACTGCTTTGTAGTAATGTTTGAGGTGTGGTCCTACTAGGCTCCCTTTCTTTTTTTTTTTCATTATTTCTCTTCTGATTCTTTACTTTTTTTTCTCTCCAGAATTTTGTTTTAAAATTGCAAATGGTTCAGAAGTGAATGAGAGGAAAATAAGTGGAAGCAACAATTGGAGGGGGAAATTTTCTGTAAGAGTTTGATAGAAAAAGGGAGGATAGGAGCAACTAGGTAGATAGAGTGCATAAACTCCACCGGCCCTGGAGTCAGAAGGACCTGAGTTCAAATTTGACCTCAGACACTTGAAACTTACTACCTGTGTGACTCTAGGCAAGTCACTTAACCCCAATTCACTAGCAAAAGAAAAAAGAAACAGAAAGAAAAAGGGGAGAGAGAGCCATAGGAGAATGGCTTGAAGGGATAGAAGGATTTAATGAAAGTTTTTTAAGGGATGGGAGAAGACTTGAGCACGTTTGTAGGCAAGGGAATGAAAATAGGAAGAATTTGAAGAGGCATTAAACACAATTTAGAAAGTACCATAACCAAGAGGTAAACCCAGAAAAAAAAAAGTAACTCCACAACATCTAGAAGCACATCCTCAGAAGTGATTTGGAAAGAAATGAAGCAAGAATTTATAACTGAAATAATAGCTCTGGAAGGAAGAATTAAGAGAATTAAATAGCTAAGACGAGGGGAAAAGACATGACAAAAATGATTATTCAATTCCATTTGTTCATACTATAATTTTCAGGAGCTCTGGTAGTTTTATATATATATATAGATAGATATAGATATAGATATATAGATATATATAGATGTGTGTGTGTGTGTGTGTGTGTGTGTGTGTGTGTGTATACACAGAGTAGATGTAAAAGTAACCTAAAAAGAGAATGCATTAATATCTGGTGGGATTGGAAAAGATCTCCTACAGAAGATGGAATTTGTGCTGTCTTGAAGGAAATCAGAGAAACTAACAGGTAAAGGTCAAGAAGCAGAGCATTCCAGGCATGATGAATAGGCAATACAAAGACCCAGAGATGAGAGATGGAGTGCCTCGTTAGAGGAGTTGCAAGTAGGTCAGCATAGCTAAATCATACACTTCATGGAGGGGAGTAACATATAAGATGACCAGAAATGCAAGAAGGGGCCATGTTCTGAAGAGCATTTACATGCCCAAAGATTTATATTGGATTTAGGAAGGTATTAGGGAGCTACCAGAGTTCACTGAGCAGCAGATAACATGGTCAGATCTAATTTATGAAAAATCACCTTGGAGGTAGAATGGAGGCTGTATTTGAGGTAGGAGGCCAATTAATAAGCTATTACAACATTTTAGTTGAGAGGTAATGAGGGCCTGAATTAGGATTGTCACTCTATGAATGGAGGGAAGGCAATGTATATCAGAGATGCTGTAAAGGTAGAAATGACAAGATTTGGCAATGAATTAAGAATGTGGAATGGGATTGAAGAGTTGAGAATGATCCTAAGGTTTCAAGCTTGGGTGACAGGGAAGATTATAGTGCTGTCAATAGTAATAGGGAAGTTTGGGAGGGGAGGGTTTGAGAAGAAATTTGGTGAGTTTTGTTTTGGACATAGTGAGTTTCAGATGCATATAGGACATGCATTTTGAGATGTCCAAGAGGCATTTGGAGATGTGTGAATGTAGCTCAGCAGAGACAGTAGGTCTTTCTATATATATTTGGGGATCATCTCAATAGTGATGATAACTGAACCCATGGGAGCTGATGACACGACCATGAAAACGTAGAGAACAAAAACAGAAGACATGAATTCTGATCGATACAATGATCAGTCATGACTCCAGAAAACAAATGATAAATAGCATGCTTCCCAACTCTTGACAGAGTGGTAATAGACTATCAATTTAGAATGAGACATACATTTTGAGACATGGCCAATGTGTGGATTTATTTTGTTTTTCTCTTATTTATTTGAATGAAAGATGTTTGGTTTTTTGTTTTTGTTTTTGTTTTTGTTTTGTTTTTGTTTTTTGTGAGGAGGAAAAGGAACACAGGAATAGAGATGCCCAAAAAAGAGGAGAAAAAAGTGTATCAGTGAAACAATTAAAAATGGATAGAAGAGAACAGAAGGAAGCTCAGAGGGAGCTACAGACAAACAGAACAGCTTTGATGCTAATATATTAAATTTAGTATATGCCTTTGAAAAAAATAAGCACATTGTAATAGAATTTCAGTTTCAAAACCTTCCATTTTTTTCTGATCTTTTATATGGAAATGTTCATATTTGTTGATGTTTGTCATTTGGAATAATTTACAATTAAAATCCTGAAAAAAAAGAAAGTAGCACTCATTATTTTTATATACTAATATTCAGTCAGTGAAGTTGAGGAGGCCCAGTGGCAGGATAATACTATGCTATGAATCTTTTCCCCATGATTTTTCCCTTCTAGCACAGTATTCTAAACAATTCCTAGAGTCTCTACTTGAACTAGAATGAGACTAAGAAAAATAAATAAATTAATGGACATTTTAAAATGACTGTGTGCCAAGCGCTGAACTAATTCACATTCCTTGTCCTGGCTTCAAAATTCGTCTTCATTTTTTAATGGGTTAGAAAAGTATCCAAGAGGTCACTCATTCCACTCTTACTAAATTAGAAAATGCATAAGAGTTTGTGAAACAGCACTCACCCATAGATTGAAGCTATCTGTTTCTACAGACACACTCAGAACTGAGCCCACACTCTCTTTTCTCTTCACACTCTGTTGCTCTAAGTTTTGAAACAAAGGGAGAGAATTTGGAACCCAAAGTTATAAAAACAAATGTTAAAAATTGTTTTCACATGCAACTGGGAAATAAGATATACAGGCAATGAGGTGTAGAAATCTATCCTGCCCTACAGGAAAATAGAAGAGGAAGGGGATAAGAGGGGGAGGGTGATAGAAGGGAAGGTAGATTAGGGGATGGGGTACTCAGAATGCATGCCATCTTGGGGTGGGGGAGGGGTGAGATGGGGAGAAAATTTGGAACTCAAAATCTTGTGGAAGTGAATATTGAAAACTAAAAATAAATATTGAGTTTTGAAACACGAGTCCATGGTTACATAGAATCACATATTTGGAGTGGACCATGAAAGTTCATTCATTGAATTATTACCTCTGAGAAAACCTTCACCTTAACAACAGAGAAAAACTAGCCCAGGGGCAGCTAGGTGGTGCAGTGGATAGATCACCAGCCCTGAAGTCAGGAGGACCTGAATTCAAATCTGACCTCAGACCAAACACTTGGCACTTACTAGTTGTGTGACCCTGGGGCAAGTCACTTAACCCCAATTGCCTTTAAAAAAAAAAACTAGCCCAACCAAAAGTCACAACCTGCCTTTCTCTTCATGATTTTGTCTTCCATTCACTCGCTCCAAAGGATTGATATAGGTACTTAACTCCAAAAGAGCTTAGGATTTAAACCTAAAGAACTTGTCATATTCTTTCTTGTTTGGGCACTGTACATTATGAAAAGTAGCTATGTCTCTTTAAACATTGGTAGCCCTTTGTCCAACTGCATTTAAAATAGCCAAGTAGTGGTAACTATCAAAACTTCACTTCTTATGCTTTTCTCTCACTAAATCATTCATCCGCTAGCAGTCCCATTTCCATTTATTCCTCCCCTTTATTCCACTTGACTCACCTACTAACTACTTGGCTGTGTGTGTGTGTGTGTGTGTGTGTGTGTGTGTAAGATGGTCTCTGAAAAGTATTTTCCCATGAGGACTTAATCTTGTCTTAATTTTAATGGTGTGTCTGTTGGTGAAGTTATATTTAGGGTACCAATGTTAAAGAAGCAAGAAATGTTGTGTTCCTTCTAATAATCCTCCTTTAATATTTTAGTTTCTAGTTCTAGTTGGAACTGTGGAGTGTCGACTCTTATTGCAAATGCACAAAAGCCAACGGGAATCGCAGATGTATACAGTAAGTTTCGCCCTGTCAAGAGAGTTTCCCCCTTGAAACACCATCCAGAGACCCTTGAGAACAATGAAAGTGATGACCAAAAGAATGAGAAGGTGGAATACCAGAAAGGAGGAGCTTTTGATCCACCACCTCCAACTGAAGAACTGGGCCCTGGAGATGGAGAGGGCCTTAAAAGTAAAAACCTTGAGCCCAGGGTTTTATTGGGAGAGCTGGAGCATTATGACCTTGATATGGATGAGATTCTGGATGTGCCCTACATTAAATCAAGCCAACAGCTTGCTTCTTTTACTAAGACAGCTACAGAAAAGAGAATTTTGGGTATATGTTCAACAGTCAATGGCCTCTCCGCAAGAACAGTTCCACAGGAAATGCTGAGAGCTTGACAGGTAGCATGACACCCTTTTGTGTCTTGTCCCCAGTAAAAAGCTCTCATTTGAAAAAAGCTCAATCTCTTGTTCTTGATCAGCACAAGCATTCTACTGAAGATGCAGAGCTTTCCCCACCTCTGGTTACATGCAACTCAGTCCATGAACCTGAAACCCAGAGCAAGGGCTTCCTTAACAAGGCATTTGCTGACCCCAACATGCTAAAAGTTGAGAACATCATGCCCAGTAGCAGCCAGCTCAGGGCTTTACACCTGCAGTCTTCAGCCACAGAGCCCAAACTGGATGAGCCAAACAGCCATGGGAACTGGAATTCAGGAAGCCCAGAAGAAAGGAGTGAGGATATGAAAAAAATTAAAAGCATCCTGAACATTGTTAAAGAAGGACAAATATCTCTCTTGGTAAGTGCTGTCATCTCCTTTTTAACATACATAGATAAGTCGATTAAGTGGGTTAAGTTTATTAGCTCCAGAGTAACAAGCATATTTTGATTTTTGTTTTGATCTTGCAGCTTTAATTCAGAGACCTGGGTTATTCAGTTTTCAAAATAAGTGGTTTGAAGTGAACACAAAGAAAAAGAAGTCCTGCACCCAATTTATTTTATTTACATATAATCACATCATTCAACTAAATTCAAGCAAAATGCATTTTTTTCTGAAAATAATAGCAACTGTATTTTCATAAGGTTGAATCTTAAATCTCTGCCTTTCAAAATGTGAGCAACTCACTCATTTATCTGTAGTTGATGCTGGCTTCATCTGATGACAGACCACTAGAGGAAGAAGTATTCCAAAGTGTTCCAGGGGTGGGGAACTTGCAGCCTTGAGTTCACATGTGGCCTCAAGGCCATAGGTTCCCCACCCCTGGACCAATTTGTTCAGTAGACATTCTTGAACAGAAGTTTCCTCCCTCTCCCTGCCAAAGCTTGATTACACCTTGGCTTACATGAAATTTTGCCGTAGTTCCCATTTTGTTATTAGAAACTAGAGAAAAAAATACTTCCAATATAACTAGACAATGTAATCTCATGGTCAAAAAGATCTAAAATGAAATAGCCCACATCAGAATGCCATATTTTATACTGGCTTCCAGATTAAGGTTAAACTTGAAACAAGCACAGTTGCTAACTGGTATTAGTAATATGTTATAGAAATCACATTTAAATACTTCAGTGTGTATTCTGGTAATGTGTTTCTGCTTAACAAGCTTTTAGTGTCACTCTCAGTAAGATGAGTTTTATCCATTATCAAAGATTATATTTTTGCATATGGTTTATATAAAAATATAATTACGTGCATATAATTATGTAGGGAGATTTAAGAGAAGACATATCGAGTAGCAGAAATACCATTGGATTAAGGAACAATAAACCTGATAATTCTGCTACTTTATTGGCTATGTAATACTAAACAAATCATCTAACTTCTTTATGTTTTAGTTTTCTCATCTGTGAAATGAGAATAATACCTGACTCATTTACTTCACAGGATTGTTGTGAGAATCATAGAAGATAACGTATAGCAAAGAATTTTAAAAACAAGGTGCTATATGAATATTAGATATTATTATGTAATTGAGTAAATCAAATATGGGATTCTACTCCTTAAAGCTTCCTCTTTTTTCCCTTTATTCCCTTTGTTTCTCTCTCCCACTCTTTCTTCCCCCTTTTCCGTGTCTCACAAATGGAAAACCCTCTTTGACTCATGTATCAGTTCCTCTTCCCCTGTCCCTGATAGCTGTGATAAATCAATGTATGGGGAACATACTCGCACTTAGCTGAAGAGACATGACCACAGACTGCTTGAATAACTGGAACAGGGACAAATTAACACTTCTTGATCTAGCCATAAAGGTATGTCTGTACCAAAAAGCATTGTAAAGAGTATGGATGGCCGAGACCACGGCTCTCTTAGGTGTTCATGTTTTAAAGCAGGATTTAGAGATTGTATTATTATATTACTAAATATAATAATATTTTTATTTTTCCCCAATTACATATAAAGATAATTTTTAACATTCATTTTAAAAAATTTTTGAGTTCCAAGTTTTTTCCCTCCCTCATCTCTATCTAAGACAGTAGGCAATTTGAACTAGGTTATACGTATTCAATCATGAAAAACATATACCATATTAGCCATGTTGTGAAAGAATACGCAGACCTAAAGGGAAAAAAGCCATGGAAAAAATGTGGGAAGTGAAAATACTATGCTTCAATCTGCATTCAGACTCCATCACTTCTTTCTCTGGAGGTGGAGAGCATTTGTCATCATGAGTCCTTTGGAGTTGTCTTGGATCATTGTATTACTGAAAACAGCTAAGTCATTCACAGTTGATCATCATACAAAATTGCTGTTACTGTGCACAATGTTCTCCTGGTTCTGCTCATTTCACTTTGCATCAGTTCATATAAGTTTTTCAGGTTTTTCTGAAATCTGCCTGCATTTCTTATAGCATAGTAATATTCCATTACAATCACATACTATAACTTGTTCAGCTGTTTCCCAATTGATGGACATCTCCCCAATTTCCTATTCTTTATCACCACAAAAAGAGTAAAGCAGGGGTTCTTAACCCCAACAAATTTGTGGGTGGATTTCAGGGGGTCTGTGATCTTGATGGGGAGAATAGTAGCATCTTTATTTTCATACACCTCTACCTGAAATTTAGCATTTCCTCCGATGACTGAGAGAAAAACAAAGCAAAACAAATTCTGGAAATTCTGGAAAGGGTCATCAGACTTCATCAGACTGTCAAAGAGATCCATACCACAAAGAAAGTATTTGAAGAATTAAATGAATCACAATTTTCAGTCAAGGTTGTAGAACACCTATAATCATTACAAGAACACAGGCTCTCTGCTTCTACTCACTTTACATAACCTTCCTTAGGGGACCAACAGCTCATTTTAACCATTTGAATAATTTTTCTGTCTTTTCTACTTGCATAGCCACACTTAGCTGCAGACAACCTCGATAAAATCCATGATGAAAGCGGGAACAATCTGTTGCATATTGCAGCCTCCCAGGGACACGCAGAATGTTTGCAACACCTTACTTCTTTGATGGGAGAAGACTGCCTAAATGAAAGAAACAATGACAAGCTAACACCTGCTGGCCTAGCAATAAAGGTATGTCCGTACCAAGAGCTCTGGACTTGCTCATAACTGATGTTGACAGAACTCAGGTTTTTGTTTGAAGAATTTCAAAGTTTCAGGGAATATTCATAGTTTAGTGGGCAATCACTAGTGATGAGCCCCGCCCTATTCATCAAGACAGTTCCTTGGACAGCAGGCACAAGCTATCACCGAAGACCAAACTTACTTGAAGCTTTTCCAGGGTTCAAGGTAGCACCTCCCAAAGCTTGTGCACTTTGCTGGTCCAGTATCCAAGAACCCAATGTCATCTTCACCAAATGATGAGGGATCGAAAGCTAAATTAGAGTACAAAGAACAAAGAACAAACATACCTTATTTTTCTGAATGTGCTATTTAAAAAAAAAATAAATTATAAAAAAGCTTCCATTTAGCCAATAATTACACACCAATGTTTAATTCAGATTTAACACTTGTGCTTTTTCTGAAGATAGAAAACTTTGATGACAAAAAAAATGGATAAAGTATCTCTTTGGATTTAGTATAATATAAAACAAAACAAAATCCCTTTCACAGTAAATGATTGAATGTGAGTACTTTGTTTAATGGTTTTTCCCTGAGTGAATGTGTATAAATTTTTTTCTCTTTTCAAATGAGATCTCATTTGGGGATGTGACCTATGTTTGGACCAATATGGTAATATTTATACAATATTAGAACTTTCCATCTTTACAGTGAGCTATTTTTGTGAATTTTTTTTTTGTCTGAGGTCCTGTTTCATATCAGTTAACCAGTAAAAAGGAAAATGATCTGGTGTAGTTGTTGGCTTTTTATTTATAGTTGCCTCAGTTTAGATCTTAATGTTTTGAAGTCTATATGAAACACTGTCTCATTTGTTCCTAATCTGCATGTAACTAACAAAATGAATGATTTTTGAAGCATATTTTTAAGAGATGATAGCATTTAAGGGCTTCAGAGAATCAAGTGACCTCTTAATGGACCACATCTGAAGTTTAAATGTCTTGAGTATCAAGGGTTGTTGAGATTGTTAGTGCAGAACTCTCGCAGAGCACAAACATGCACTTTGTCAAAAACTTCACAAATTAACATCAACGGGAAAGAAGTTAAAAATTCAGCAGAATCTGCTTCAAGAAAACAGCACTATAGTGCCTCAGTTACAAGAAGGTTAACTCTTCAATCAGTCAGGCATGAAACATTTATTAAGTGCCTACTATTCCAGGCACTGTGCTAAACAATGGAGATGCAAAGAAAAGTGAGAAACAGTCCCTACCTTCAAGGAGTTTATAATCTAATAGGGGAGACAACAGGCAAACAACAATGTACGAACAAGACATATACAGGATAAACTGGGGGTAGTCTTGGAAGGTACCAGAATTAAGAGGGATCAGAACAGGCTTCCTTCAGAAGGTGGGATTTTATTTGATATGTGAAAGAAGCTAGGGAAGGATTCATAAATATGAAAAGTGATCACATAATTAAATAGCCATCAGTACAGAACAATGAAATACAATAAACCAGCTGCTCTAAAAGATATGCCTTGCTTGCTATATGAGATTATACATTAATCAACTTTAAAAAAAAAGAAAAAGAGAGAGAGGAAGGAAGAAGAAAGGAAGGAAAAGAAAGGAAGGAAGGAAGGAAGGAAGGAAGGAAGGAAGGAAGGAAGGAAGGAAGGAAGGAAGGAAGGAAGGAAGGAAGGAAGGAAGGAAGGAAGGAAGGAAGGAAGGAAGACCTGCACTTATCTTGCTCAGGTTGGAAGTGCAAGGTCTACTCACCATCCAGGTTCAACTTCAGGTATAAGAGCTTTAACCTGCTCCTTTACTGAGCTTGGCTAATTCATTCTTCCTTAGGCAACCTGCTGTTGTCCCCCCACTCCCAATTCCTGAGGGCTCAACATATTAATGCCAGACTTAGTGTGACACCTGATAGACTTAGCCCACTGTAACTCAGAACTCCCAAATTTAAAACACCCATCAGCCTCAGCCTCCCTGAAAGTAGGGATTACAAACATACCCAACACTACAGCACCAGTTTGTAAACTGAATTTAAAAAATGAATCTTATATGAAGTTGCCAGAGAGTCTGCTTTTTAAATACATTCTATTATGAATCCTTTTATAAAGCAAAGTATCCACTAAAAATGCTACTCTACTGTCTTGTATAAATATAGCTCTGGATTCTGGAAGGCTTTGCCAGAGAAGATCAGGCAGGCTGTGGCTGTGTCTACCAACCTAGGAGGTATTTTAATGGTGCAAGCATAGCAATGGACTGTGTGTATGTTGTCTTCAGGCCAGCCTAGTTAAGCAATATATACATATATATATATATATATATATATATATATATATATATATATATATATATATATATATATATAGGTCACCAAGTGATGGATTTCATTTTGGCCATTAAAACCTAAGAAACATCAGTTATTAAAGGGACAAGAGGAGGTTGAAACTTGATTAGATGAGGGAGAATCCATATCAATCCACAAATCATGAGTATTTCTGTAAAAAAGAAAAGCACAAACATACACATTCAATCAATGGAAAAAACATTCTGTAAGTATCTCCTATGTGCCAGGCACTGTACTAGGTGTTTGGGGATACAAGTACAAAGAACGAAGTAATCCCTACTCACAAGGAACTTACACTTTAACTCACGTTTTCTCTCTCTCTCTCTCTCTCTCTCTCTCTCTCTCTCTCTCTCTCTCTCTCTCTCTCTCTTCTTTTCTCCTCCTCCTTTCTCTCTCCTTTTGCCTCTTCCTTTATCCCTGTGTCTATGTTTCTCTCTCTGTGTCTCTCTGTCTGTGTCTCTCTCCAGTATATCATTGGTAAATCTGATTTCCATATATTGTTTTTCTTTAAATTGAGGTACAACTATTTTGGTTTTGTTTATTTTTGGTATTTTACCATTTTTTTCCTTCTCAGTAGAAGGTATGCTTATGTGTGAGTTCATATTGAACTCCTAAGAATGCATAAGAGATGTTTTTGCTTTGATTATGAGTGATGCCTCTATAAATGAAATCTGATCTATATATTATATTCATAAGGAAAAGAAAAGTTAAACGTGTAAACTCAATTCCAATTTACATGATTTTATTTCCTCTACTCCAAACTATTCCCAAAAACACTTGATTTTGAGTACTTTTGTACCTCTATTAAATAAAGGACATTTTCCATTACTGAAAGTCAATGAATGAGTGCAGTTTTTCTTGTAGGTGTAAAGTTGAAGAATGATAATCCTTCGTCTTTCCCTGAAATAGTATATATTAGATGAATAATAACAGAAAAATAGAGACTCAGAGGTCAATTGACTTGCAAAAAGATTGCCCAGGTAGTAGAAGACTTCATACTTGAACCCAGATCTTCTGCGTCCATGTACTCTATACCATAATTCTTTGTACAATACCACCGTCTTTGAGTAGCTGAGTGACCATGAGCAAATCACTCTGGGACTCAGTTACTTCATATGTAAAATAGGGAATTGATTCAGTGACCTTACTATCACATGAACATAGATTTAGACCTGGTAGGAACCTTAGAGGGCATTGAGCCCAACCCTGTCATTTTAGAGAAGAAGCATCAAGAACTAAAGGACACCCAGCTAGTAAATGCCAGAGGCAAGTTTCTCTAAAGTCTTTTATGATTTTAAAATCTATGACTCTGCGATCACTTTGTATGACATTATAACCACTAAGCAGACACTGCACTTTCACATAAGAAGGATCTCCTTTTCTTCAATTCTCCAAGTTTCAATATGATCATCTATAGAATGGGGATACTCCCTACACTTTCTACCGCATTGGCATTATTTTGAGGAGGGTGTTGTGTAAACCTGAAAACATGATAGAAATATGAGTTGCTACCGCTTACTTTGAAGTAGGGAAGGGTGGCAAATGAGGGAAAGTGAAGTAACTTAGGAGGAGGGAGGCTGCAGCCGTGGTTCTGCCCCCATAAATTTTCAGGCCGAGTGGATGAACAGGTAGTTCATAATGAACCTGGCTTGTCCTCATGATTAAGTAGGAGTAAGCCCCTGGTGAGTTATGAATAGATCCTTTTTCTGTGGAATTAATATGTGAATGTATTATTAACATGTGGATTCTTAGGTTGTGAGCAGGCCTTTTCTCTGTGGAATATCCATCCAATTTCATTTTGGCTATCTTAATTCATGCCCCTCTAGCATTTTAGAAAACTGTATAATGTCTGATGTTACTTCATTGTTAAGAAAATAAGATTTTTATTTTGGTGTTTAACTAAAATGAAATTAACTTCTGTTGAAAATTGTAACTTGGAATAAATTTTTGTAAACTGTATCTGAATGCTTAGGATATGAGATGGATGTCCATGTCTCTGGATTCTGTGCTTTTAGCACAGTGCCTGGCACATAAGTAGGTGCTTAATAAATGACTTAACTGACTGACTGATGGTGGTATTTCTTCTAGCAATATATGTTGCAACCCATCCATGCCTTCTTATCCTGTATGATTCTCACCTAAGTTCTCCTGTAAATTGTCCCTTGAGGATTTTTGGATGTGTTACACATTCCCTGATTCCTTTAGATTGTGAGCTCCTCAAAAGCCAGGACTGTCTTTTGTCTTCCTTTGTATACCCAGTACTTAGCATGGTGGCTGGCACATCATAGATGCTTAATAAACGTTTATTGACTGACTGAATGATATTGACACATACGTACTTTTAGTAATGGAGTGCTTCCATTATTTAATAGAGACGCAAAAACTCTTCAGATCAAGGTGTTTTATTTGTTGTTGTTGACTGTGCTGGATGGAGATCTTTTGCTAGGTCTTTCAATCATTTGTTAATACCAGCGCAAGACATCAGTCATCCCTTGTTCCCATAACCTATTTGCCCTATCTCCTTTTTTCAATTCCATATATCCTTGATATTGTCATCACTTCTGACATGTAAATTGTAACTTATAATGTGCAGCAAGCTACTTATGTGCACTGTGCATCTTTCTATTGTTCTCTTGATTCTTTGGACATCACTGTATGATTTGCAATCATGTGGTACTACTGGAGATATATCGTTGTTGAAAATATGGGCCTTAATGACAAGGAGTAGCTTGTGACCAGTGTGAAACTGTTACATACAGACAATTAAACTTACATCATTATAATCTATGATACTAATAGAAGTTTAAATTTTAGGCTTTTTGAAAGGACATTTCTTGATTTTTCCAATGTAATCACCATGTAAATGTTGTGTGTTTCCAAAACTGATAGATTGGAAGGGGAAAATTTTTTATTTGCTAAGTAAAAGTGACTTGATAAATGGAATAGTTCTTATGTTCGTTTATTATTTCTGGAATTATACGGCTTTAAGTCGTTCAGACCTACTGCCAACAACTCTAGAAAACTCATTACTCTTGATCAACCTTAGCCAAATGAATACTCTTTAAAAGACACTCATTCATCAAAGGGTGGACTTTGATATCTTTTAAATACTCAGTTAAATCCTTTGCCAGATTCTCCTAATTTAGGACCTTGTTTTAATCTTAGTTTCCAGATGGTGGGGTTTTTTTCACATAATTAACAAGGCTCTGCTGGGAAAGTCACACAAACTTTGCACAAAGGATTTAGAAGCTACTCAAATGAGCTGAGGTATCTGAAAGGAAGTAGAATTAATTAGGACACCAAATTAAAAGTATCTGAGAAAGAGATATAGGAAGGCAACAGAACAGTTCTCTCATTCATAGAGTCCTTGCCAAAGTAAGAAGGCCCTAATCTCAGCTTGTACAATTTGTTGTTATTGAATGCCCTCTTGATGCAAATGCTGAACTAATGCTATCCCAGGTCCCAGGTCCACAAGAAGTATAGCATTCGATGCCTACTGGATACAGGTAGGCAGTATGGAAATCAGGTTGGGTATCTCTTTCTAAAAATCCAGGTATAGTGCTACTTATTCATTCATTCATTCATTCATTCATCTATCCATCCACTCATTTATTGGTCTGGAAAAGGTGATGTGGTGAAAACAGACTCTGACATTTACTTCTAGTAGTATCACTAACTTGCTATGTGCCCTTGAGGCACATCATTTAACCTCCATCATAGTTTCCTTATCTATTCAATGAGGATTATAAAACCTGCCCTTTCTAGTTCACATGGCTGTGGCAAGAATAACCCTTTATATACCTTAAGCCTCTATATAAATTTGGTATTTTTTGTTTTGTTTTGTTTTGTCAGTCTCCCATGAGATAATGAAGCATTTAGGAAGTATAACATGCTACGTATATGAGATATTGTTATTGCAATAAAGTAATTTTTTTTAAACTGTAATATTAACAAGTGCATGCACAGAGAAACACAGCTGTTAGTAATGGGAGTAGGGGGAGGAGAAGGTGTAAAAGAACACAGCTGGGTCTGCTATGTTCCAGAAATTAGTTCAATCTGTTGAACTAATATATATAATAATATATATTAATTATATATATAACATATATATAATAATATAGGAGAGGCTATATTGACTGGGTCAACAATATAGTCAACACAAGTATACAGATGCCAAAGCCAGCCAGTATTTTGTGTTATTCAAGTGATTCAGTGGGAAAATAGCCAGGGAGGGCTGCAAAGAACCTGCAGTAGTCTGATTCTTGTTGCCTGGTGTTTCTTTGCCTTCCCCTCTGCATTTAATTCCATTTGGTTTTGCCCATGGAACTTCTGGAACAATCAGTAGCAGTCTCCTGTTTCGTGTTTTGTTTTCCCACATAATTTGTTGTTGTAGAATGCAACAGAGGCAGGGAAAGAGTAGGAGAGGCAGCTACAGACTCTTATCAGCTCTCTGTGGGATGGCTTCAAAAATCAATCTACTCTAGATATGGTCTCAGACTATTCCTTCTGCCTTGGGGGCTGGAGAGAGGGAAGTGGTTGGCACAATGTTAGAGCCTTGTCTGTAGCTCAAATGTTAACCATATCTGCCTCTTCTCCTCTGTATCCTCTTACTCAGATCAAGTCAAAATGAAATGCTTATGTGCCTAGTGTCCTTGATCACCCCGTGCTTTGCTTTTTAAGATATTTTTCTTTTAGGGTGAAAAAGGCAAAACCAATTCCTTTAAATCTTACTCAATCCCTCTTCCCCACGTGGATCCTGACAAAGTCAAAGCTTCAGCACGTATTGCTCTGTGTCAGAGAGGTTCTAGGTTACATTCTTAATGGGGATTGGGAATTTTGTGGTCCCATTCAAAATCAGCTGTCATACACTTGACATCTGGAATTACACATCACATCAAAATAAACATCACTTAAAAGAACAGGGATTCACAGCAAATATATGTATCAATAAATGCAATAGCAAATATACATGATATGATTCATGCATTCATTTGCCATGAGCTGCTCTGCTTGGTTTCAACTCCACTATCATCTTCATTGTTCGCCACTCAGAATAAATTCATCACCAGGAAACTCATCATCATGGAGATTGCTTTAGAGATTGCTACACACACCTCATCAGTATTTTCAGTTGCTTCTGCCTCTCTGATTGGAGGATTGGAAGGCAGAGCAAAAATCTTCTCCTACAGTCTCCCTCTACAAACGGCTCAAAATCCCAGTCACCTCTTCATTTGCCATCACATGCTCCACCTGTTTCTGACTCTACCACCCTCTTCATCATACCCCTTTGCCAGGTACTCTCTGGCACTTATCTCCTCTCTTTTCAGCTTCCTTTTGTGTATTCTTTCCTCTCACCTCCATTGAATGGTAAGCTCTTTGGGGACAGGGACTGTCTTTCTGTTTCTTATTTGTATCCTCAGCACTCAGCACAATATTGGCATATAGTAGGCCCCTTATAAATGTTTACCTTAATGGATTAAAAAATGGGCATTCTGAGTCACTGCTAGTGCAACTGCGATTTAGTAACCATTTTGAAACTAAAGAATTTTATTGTTCGGTCATGTCTCACTCTTTGTAACCTCATTTGGGGTTTTCTTGGCAAAGATATGGGAATGGTTTGCCATTTCCTTCTACAACTCATTTTACAGGTAGGAAACTGAGGCAGACAGGATTAAGTGACTTGCCCAGGGTCCCACTGCTAGTAAGTGTCTGAGGACAACAGATTTGAACTCAGGAAGATGAGTCTTCCTGACTTCAGGCCCAACACTCTATCCACTGTGCCATCTAAGATGCCTTAAGCTAAAGAACATCATCACTGAAAAGTCTTCAGGATTGAACCTGGTCCTTCTAAAGTCAAAGCTCCATTAGTGATTGACAGGTTCCGCTAACATGTAAAACAAAGTAATGCATTTCCCTGGTGAAATTCGTTGAGTAATTATAAAAAATAGATATAAACTTTGAGATAAATAACTATTAAAGTAAATATAAACTTTAAGGTGATTATAAACCTTGAGATAAATAATTATTAAGCTGAACATAAACTTTGAGATTGTTAGAAAATGTTGTTTCCTCACCTAAGAACAATCGCTAATTAAAAGACTGAAAGAAGACCTCTTTTATGGCTTGTTGTATCAGAACCCTTAACATCCCTATGAGGAAAACATTTTAACAGCAAAATATCCATACCCTGAAAATAGAGATTGGGGTGGGGAAAGAGATATTATGTGCATGTATATCTGTGTGTGTGTATATGTACACATATATACACAGACATATTATATATGTATATATATATATATACACACATACATACATACATATATACTTGTTTATATATATACACATATATGAAAAGTTCATGTAAATATAAAATATTTCTATGCCTATGTATATATTATATACCATACATACATACATGTATATATGCACATATATCCCCCCTATTCACACACACATACACATATATTTGATTCAGCTTTGGTCTCTATTATCTTCTTTTCATAACAGTCCTTGCTATTCTAAAAAATTCCTAAATACTTAATAACAATGTAAGTAGAAAGACCCTTGGTAAATTTTGAACCATAAAATAGGTACTTAATAAAATATGTTTGTCAAGAAAATGATAATGAAATATTTTATTTCCACACTAAAGCCGTAAGTTATAGCTATAGCTGATCTATGATAAAAATAGCTCATAAATCTTTACGTGTTTGAGGGAATATTATTTAAGTAGAAGTTGTGCAGCCAGCTAAAAAAATAAAATTAAAGAAAGATTAGAATAAGCATTGCAGCTAGAGATCCTAGGACAGCTCCATTCACATATCTACCTACACCTGTGTTGTAGTGGCAAGAACCCTAGCTTTAGCATCAGAGAACCTCAGTATAAATCCTAACTCTGACGCTTACTACATGAGTGATTTATAGCAAGTCTCTTTGCCTCTCTGGGCCTCAGTTCACTAACCTATAAAATGAGAGGGTTGGGCTGTCTGCTCTTTAATGTCTTTTCTGGCTCCGAATGCTATGAAATATGACCAAGACCATGAGGCAAACTTAAGAGTCTTGTAAACAAACTAGGCCACATGCAAAAGCCATTGTTCACAAATGATTTCTTCCAGAACTAAGTTTACCTTTTCTGAAAAGTTTTTCAGATTAAAAACCGCTTTAATTTCTAACCTTTCTTTTTCACCATTTAGAATGGCCAACTTGAGTGTGTAAGATGGATGGTGAGCGAAACCGAAGCTATTGCAGAATTAAGTTGTTCAAAGGATTTCCCAAGTCTCATTCACTATGCGGGCTGCTATGGTCAGGTAGGCTGGTATTATAAGTTATCCTCCTTTTTTACTTCAAGTAATAAACCTTTTAAAAAAACATTTTTCACTCAAATGCATGTCTATCTTCTTATAGGGCATCTTATTAAATGTGAAATGTATTGGTCTAACTATAATGAAAACTTGCTTTTCTGTAGATAAGCAAGCATATGTCTGTTTGAGACCATGAGTTTTCTTCTTTGGGGAGTTATGAAGTCAGTGGCAGACCTGTTGCCCATACTGCCATTCTGAGTCTAGTGATAAAACTCATTACCTTTCTTTGAGAGCGTAAGTTTAAGCTAGCCAAGAAAAAATGGAACTATGGTGCGCTAAAGATCCCTATTATAATCCCTCCAAAGCAACAATTCATTTGAATAGATTTAAGCGTATGTGTTTGTGGCAAAAAAAAAAAAAAATATGCTTTTTATATGTGAAATAATATCTTTTCTGACTTCACAGCCATACCCCATAGAAAGATATTGTGGTGTTGTCTATAACAAATAATCATTTCTGAGCATAAAAATTTAAAAATTAAAATTATAAATTAAATTATAAGTTTTATAATTTGTATATAATCATAATATAATACATAATAATTATATAGATTATAAAAATTAAAAATATATACATATAGATATATAAAAACTGGAAAAAAGTCATTATACTCAAGTTTAAGTATGCCACCTCATTGTTTTCCACTGGGATTCTTTCTGGTTCACTGGTGGTTCTGCTGAGTCAATTTTCTTTTACCACAATGGTCTGTGGCATTTATTTGCTGTGATCAACAAAGGTCAAGAAAATATGTCCAATTTTATGTTAAAAAATACCTTGGAGAGCCTTTTTTATTTTATTTATTTTGTGTTTGGGTTACCTTGTAGACTTCACTGGTTCAATGAGCAAACTTGCTGAGTTAATAAAAGAAAGAAAGAAGCAAGTGGAAGAACTAAACATTTGCTCTAGAGACCCACTATCCTTGGCATGTGAAAAAGCAACCATGTTAGCTAATTTGCATCAATCTATAGAAGCAAAGTGATAGATTGAGCTGACACAAGTGATTGGGGATGATTGATGATGATGATGATGATGATGATGATGGTTACCATTATAATCATTACTAATAGGTAGCATTTAATAGCTAGTACTTTAAGCAAAGTGCTTTGTATGTTCTCACCTGACCTTCATCACAGCCCTATAAGGTAGGTGATATTATTATCCTCATTTTACAGATGAAGAAAAATGAGGCTGAGAAAGATATAGTGGCTTGGCCAGGATCTCAGAGCCAATAAGTTATTGAGGCAGGCATGATTCAAACTCAGGTCTTTCTGATTCCAGATCTAGCTCCATATTCATTGTATCACCTTATCTGCCTAGTGGTAAAAGTACTGGATTTGAAGTCAGAATATTGTGGTTTAAATCGTGGCTCTTCTGTTTATTAACTATGTGGTGTGGAATGAATCATATAACTTCTCTGGGTCTCAATTTTCTTATGTGTAAAATGAGAGAGCTGAATTAGATCCCCTTTAAGGCCCACTCCAGCCCTAAATCTATAATGACTCATGCTCTGAAGAAATTGGTTATTGTACATCACTAACCTTAGAGTACATTCTAGAATATATGATATTGCCCTTTTTTATAGTAGTTACTTATTCTTAGTGTGAATAATAGAGGTAAATGTTTCAATTTTCCACTTTACTTTGTCTATATAAATACTAACTGAAAATTACACATAACTTTGGAGAGATTTTGTCTAGGTTTACATGAGAAGAGGGAAGAAAACCTGTAACTACTTTGAGACTTTTAAGTACAGTAAGTAAAGAGGCATTTGGCATTCTTCATCTCATGGATATGGCTTTTGTAGGTCATGTTTCAGTGTGAATAATGAACATTATTTGAAGCAATTGGGAAGCAATGGAAAGAAACCATACTTTTTGAGACAAGTTGGGTAATGGTGAAACATCTTTGGCTTGGTTTAGTAAAATATTGAAATTAAAAGGATAGTTGGAGAGATTTTTTTTTTGGTTTATTCTTTGCTTCACACTATCAGTTTTCAGGTTGTTACTTCGGAGGAAAGGGAAGGGAACAAGCATTTATTAAGCGCCTACCATGTTCTAAGCATTGGGCTAAGCACTTTACAAACATTATCTCATTTGAACTCAAGAGCGTTAAGGATCCTTACACCATAAATTACAGTCTGGAACAGAGTACATAAATATTTTGGAGGGGTCATTACCATGAAAAAAATATGACAGCAGAGAATAAGAAGGTCTGTTACATTCATGAATTCTGTTCAACCAACCTAACTAAGCACAAGTCACTTATGTACCACATAACCTGTGGAAATGCTGACATTGGAAATAGAAGAAGGAAAATATTTTCACAAACACCATTCTTGGGCAATTTGCTAATGGATTCAACACAGGCAAGTTCTTTCTACAACAAGCAGGCATTTCAATGTGCTCTTTCTGATTTTATTTTTTCAATAAATACTTCTATAAAAGACAGTACAAGGGAAAATTCCTTTCTTCATTTGTTTTGCTTGTCCTCATCGTGTATATTCTTAAAGAATTGACTAGACCTGGTTTGTATTTAAAAAAAAAAACTAGCTTTAAAGACCCCATGGTCTTTAAACATGAGGTAGCTAGTAGTTTTTTAGTGCTCTGCTATGATTCATCTTCTAGGTGATGGCTTCTGAATTTCCTCATCTTGACAGATGATATCTCAGAGGGTGCAATCACTCCATCGCCTGCTTGTGCAGAACGGAACTAGCCAAGAAGGGATGAGAAAGCAGAAACTTCTCAGAGCACTCAAGGAACAAGTGGGTAGCACTCTTTGCCAGCTTTCCCCACTTTGCACTATCTGTGTCCCTTGAGATGCTTGGTTGACCAAATAGTTGGGACAAAAGCCACTTTAGTCAATCAAGTCTACTGACTGATGAATCATGCTGTTATTCATTACACAATTTAAGTTTATGCAGACCTCATACTCATGCTTTCTTTGCAGCATGGCAGGGAGAATACAAAAACACAATGAACTGGGACCCAGGATACCTGGATCCTTGCTCTGCTATTAATTAACTGTGATCTTTAGAAAGTCACATCAACTCTCTGGACCTGTTTTTTTTTAAATCTGTAAAATAAGAGATCTTCATTGGCTAATCGGTAAAGCTCCTGACACCTTTACCATTAGGTGACCCTAACTTTTTCCTGATGTTCAAATATCTCCTTCAGAAATGTCCCGTGTCTTCCTTAAAATTTTCATTGGGAAAGCAGACAAACTAAGAGCTTCTGCAAATTCATGATATTGTTAATTTATTTTTTTTCAAGGATAATATTTACGAACTTAGATAGCTCTTTCAAGGAAGATTTTGATAAATTTAGTAGAAAGATATATCCTCTATATCCTCTTACTATTATGCAATATCTAACTCAGAAATATTAGTTGTCAATCATATTTCTTATAAGGAAGAAAGGAAATGGGCATTTATTAAATGCCTTCTGTGTGTCAGGCACTGTGCTTTACAAACATTATATCGTTTGATCTTCACAATAATAACCCTAGGAGTAAAGTGCTATTGTTATCCCCATTTTACAGTTGAGGAAACTGAGATAGAGGTTTGATGATTTGCCCAGGATCATGCAGCTGGTAAATGTATGAGGTCAGATTTGAACTCAGGTTTTCCTGACTCCAGGCCCAGTTTGGGCATCTGTTATGCCCCTCAGTAACTAAACAAGATTTATATCACAGAATTAATGATTTTACTAAAAAGCAATTTTTCTTTTGGCATTTTTCTTTAATATCAAAAAGGATCATTCATGTTTCTGTAGCACTTTATAAACACTTCACTTACAACAAACTTTTGAGGAAAATAGTGTAAATATTGTTACCTCCATTTCATGGATGAAGAAACTGGAACTCAGAGACTAAGCCACCGTCTAGTAAGTATCAGATCTGAGATTCAAACCAGATATTTTTAATCTCTGTGTCCTTGGCTTATTTTTTTCCTACTCTACTATGTTGCCCCAATGGACAGCATTTCAATAAAGAAAAAACTCACTACTCCTTCCTGGCAATCATATGAAATGATAGGGACATGAGGGATTTGTTCATAAGTGGGTCATGAATTTTTTTGGATAGCTTATGAAAAAGGAAACATTTCTTTGTACTATTTCATGGTCACATTTCAGGAATAAATCAATAATGCTGCAAATGTTTATATTATACATAAAGCCAGAGTAAGAATCATCTTTTGATTAGCGTATGAGCACTTCAATCTTCAAGGACTAGTTTTTCAGGAATTGTAATTCATAAAGTTCCTTGGTTCTGTAAGTTGACATGGCAGTTGAATGTGATTCCTATGATGCAGGGAACCAGGGGGGAACCTGTTTTTTTGCAATTAATTATCAAAGGGCAGTAACAGAAGAACTGGCATTTATGTGGGTTGATGGAGTCTGCATAAGATTGTTTTTAATTGCTATTTCTAGTACCTCTCCTTTAATATACGCGTGATATTATTGTTGTATGTATGTATGTGTGTGTGTGTGTGTATATATATATTTGTGTGTATGTGTGTATATCTAACATTGTCTACATATATCCATGTAAATGTAGATACATGACACTATGGTATAGTGGCTAGATTTCCAGGCTTAAAGTTAAGAAGGCCTGAGTTCAAATCCCACCTCAAATGCTTACTAGCTATGTGACTTTGGGTAAGTCATAGGATCATAGATTTAAAGCTTGAAAGAACCTTAGAAGTCATCAGGTTCAACCCTCATTCCCCATTTTGAAGATGAGGAAATACCTATCCAGGGCCACATAGATAATAAGTCACTTAACCCCTCTAAGCCTCAGTTTCTTTATCTACACAATGAAGATAATAATAGCATCTGCCTCACTGGATTATTGCAAAGATCAAATGAAAGAATATATATATATATAAAAACATACATAATGATACATTTATACATACATACATATGTATGTATATATACATACATATA